CCTCTATCTATATCACATCCCCTTTCTGCTCCCCAGGGAGGGTGGAGGCCTTCCATAGGGGCTCTACAGAGTCTGTCATATCCTTTGGGACAGGGCCTAGGCCCATCCCCTTGTCACAGGGTTCTTTATGTGGTGTAGATATTCTATCCTGTACCATGAGTGGTCCCTGAGTTTGCATAATGCAGTTTTATTATTTTCTTAGTTTGTTTATAATGTGCACAGCTACAAAGGTTTTTAAAAGCTTATAGTTTAGACATCATAGTTTTCAGTAGTTTCAGGGGCTCCTATAGAAGCCCACAAACAGTTGCATTACCTTGTCTACTGTTTTAGAATGCAATTAAAGAAAATGCCATGCTTCAGGCAACCACTTTGCACAGAACTCAGCAGAGCAATCTGACATACTTTTCCCCAAAGATTAAGTTGTCTCGTATATTGTTTTATAAGATGAAAAATTAGATTCAACTTAAATAATACATGATGTGTGGATATGTGTACTATCCAGCCATTTAACATGGTCTTTTACAGAATGTATAGAAATGCAGGACGGGGCTGGGGAGATAGCTTCTCTGTCAAGAGCACTGCTGAGCTTGGTTCGTAGCACTCACACTGGGTGGTGCATAATGACCTGTAACACCAGCCCCGGAGGATCCAAAACTCTCTTCTGACCTCTATGGGCACCACACTCATGTGCACACCCACCACCCCTTCACATACATACATAATTAAAGCTAGGAAGTTTAAAAATGCATTTAAAGTAAAGCTAGATAAAACTGTATATCACATCTCAACTGTGGAAAAATTTGCACACAGAAAAATGAGGATCTATGTGGTAAAATATTGAAAATGATTTCACTATAGGATTCAAAGGGATTGTTATTTTTTTCTGCTTTTTAAAGTTTTTCCAATGAGTATTCTTACTTTAATTGTAAGTTGTTAAAGGGGAACATGGTTATTAAACACCCTCCCAAAAGATTGCATAGACAAAGCCACAATAACACAATAATAAGAGAGTCTCACTTAGTCCTTACCATTTGGATGAAAAGGAATTGTTAGAAATTTCACAACTGGAGGAACAAGGTTGTACTCTGGTGTAAAATCTATTGTCAGGTGGAAGACAAACCCTGTAATATAAAAATGAATAATGCCATTAAAGTGTTATGGTTAGCTCTAGCCTGATCGAACACTGGAGGTTTTTCTATGATTAAACTTATCCATTATTTTCTTGTTTTTTCCTTCAATATAAATTTCTTCTTTAAATATATAGTGTGTGTGTGTGTGTGTGTGTGTGTGTGTGTGTGTGTGTGTCTGTGCATGTGCATGTAGGTTACAGAACAACATGCCAAAGTTAGTTCTTGCCTTCTACTACATGGGTTCTGGGATTTGAACTTGTGTCTTTAGGCTTGGCAGCAAATGCTCTTACCTGCTGAGTCATCTCACCAGCTGCTTCCCTGTGATTTTCTTAAATTCCTTCACTGTGCACAGGCCATTCTTTGTTGTGAACCAGACCCTTTGCCACATTACTGGCCTCGGTTTTTGTTTCTTTCTCCCCAGTTCTATCCACTCACCATCTCTGTCTCCTGCACACTGCCTCCTCTCATGTTGTCTGAACTCCCCCTTCCCAGAAACAGCAGCAACCTTTCTCGCCTGTAACATGAATGTCCTTCTCCTTTAGAACTTGGCTAGTGTTCACTTGTCAACTCAAATGTTCCTTCCTTTGAAAGCCTTCTTGACTCCTGCAGGTGGGATTGCTAATCCCCCTCCCTTCTTTGGCATTCTTTCCAAAATCCATAGCAGCATATATTATATTTTACTGTCATTGTTGTTTTATGTTTGTCTCACCCACTCCACTTAAAGAAATCTCCTTTAAATAAATAACTGAAATAATTCATAGTTAGTAAAGTTTATAGTGGGCTGGGTTCCTCGAGGACTTGACTTCTGGAAATTTAGGGGAAAAATTATGAAAGGAAAGCCAAGAAATAAGTGTGGAATGCTAAAGTCAACAGGAATTTTTATAGGTGTTCTCTGATCTCATGAAGACTGTTGGCAAATATTCTGATAAATATACTTTATTGTGTTTGCTTCTTAAAAATAAAGTAACATGGGACTGGAGAGATGGCTCAGCAGTTCTGAGTGGTTCTTCCAGAAGACCCAGGTTCAATTCTCAGCACCTCCATGGCAGCTTACAAATGCCTGTAACTCCAGTTCCAGGGGATCTTGATACCTTCACACAGACATACATGAAGGCAAAATGGGAATGCATATGAAATAAAAATAATAAATAATAGAAATTTGAAAAGGAAACAAAACCAGAAACATTAAGGGCTAAGAGCGAAGCCCTAGAGTTGATCTCTAGTTCCACCCACCCACCCCCTACCATCTCTCAAGACAGATTGATTCTGAAACACAAACCTTCCCAGATTGAATTCTGAAGTCCTTCTATCTGAGCTTCCCAGTTCATCAGATCTTCACTTACAGGAAAAGCAGTAACACCCTGTCATTAAACAAAAAAAAAAAAAAAAAAAACAATAAAATAAAACAGACTAAAATAGTCTTCATAGTTTTGAAAATGAGCTTCCGGGTTTCATAGAATTTCAAAATCTTGACTTTTTTGATAGTTTTATTTGTTGATATGGGGAGGTGTTGCTTATCTTAAGGTATATGCTAGGAAACACATGAAATAATAGTAAATTAGAAACAAATTGCTAAGCGTAGAAATCACTAGTGGGACCAGGAAATCGACACTGAGCTGTGTGTCTATACAGTGTATGTGGAGGACGTGGCCATTTAAGATCCAATGGGAAAAGGAGGAAATAGTTGGGAATTGGAAAACATGTATTTCCTGAAAGTTCTGGAAGACGATGGATGTCATGTGAAAGGCATGATGTAGGGACATTTTCACTAAAAAATTCTGAACTCAAGTCCATTGTATTTATGAGTTGGAGTTTTTCTTGTGTTATGAAAGAGAATACAAAGTTAATTGGATTTCTAGTTCTAACTCTGCTGTGGTTATTTTTTGGTTTGGTTTTGGTAATAGATAAATGCATAAAAATATGTTCAGTATTGAAAGTGTAAAATCCAATGGGAAGCTCCACAGTTTCTTTTCCAAATGGCCATTCTAACTGTGTGGAGATTCACTGGAATGGATGTATATGGTCTGGTTAATTTTGATGTGTGATTCTTTTTTTCATTCGTTTATTAAACTTTATAAAACTTATTTAGGAAAAGAAAATAAAAATGCCCAGGTTACTGTTGTATATAAAAGCAAACTTTTCCTACCCTTAAGTGTTGTTTCTGTGAAAAGACAAGAATGTGCTTCCCAAAAAATCCTAACAGCTATGTTGAGTGTACTTGAATAAATTCAGCAAATTATTTCTGAGACAGCATAGTGAATAAGTAAGTAAGGCAACTATCAAAGCAAGCACTGCGTGTGTCTTTCTTCATTATCTGCACTGATGTAACCCACCATTAAATTCTATTATGCCAGAGAACAACAATGTTTATACCAAACAGAAGTGTTGTCCAACGTGACCTTCACACACCTGCAATGAATATATAGTTGATCCTCAGCATCTCCAGAGGTTTTTTTTTTTTTATGTGTTTATAATGGGCATGAAACGAACATGTATGTGACCTACCACCAACAAGGTTATTGTTAGTATCACTGAACACAATTTTCTATGTTTTTAAAAAGCATTTCTTCCTTTCCCCTCATCAGTAACTTCAATGAGGGCATTGGGCAAATGGTAATTTTTGCTTCTGCATTAGAATTAGAAGGCAAAGCCACTTAATGCCTCTTGTTGGTAAAAGAAAAAAGTACTAGAGAGTATGTAGTAGAATACAAAGTGTCAGAAAATGATGGAGTGTATCTTGGGACAAATCTATACTGAATCTGGGTGCTAGTTTGCTGTTAGGAAAAACGAAACACTACTTGGCTTACTATATTAATGAGTACGAATTGAATTTTCCAGTCACTCCTTGACACACTGTGATAATCGAGGGCTTCATCTTAGAGACATTGCCCCTCACAATGTACTTAAAATTGTTACCCATCATTACCTTGAAACAGTAGTTATTATTCTGGGATACTGTAGTGGGAAAGTCGGTATAGTTAAATCATGGTTTATAGAATAAACACGGACTAGCCTGCTTCTTAAACAGTATCACCGGATGAAACAGAACCCTCCACGCCCCTGTACTTACCTCACTTGGGTAGTTTTGTATCTTCTGGAGCTCTCTTTCCAGCAAGATGTAAGCTCTGGAGTACATGGTGAGGCAGTGGAGGCAATGTCACCTGTCCCCGAACTATTCAGGTTTACTCGGGGAGGAGCTCTTGACAGAGGTCTCGGGTCACCCTCTGACCCCTGGTTAACGGCTACTAGCTCCCCAGTTAAATGACTGCTAAGTTACGATTTAACAGTGACTTCCCACCTCTGACCCCCATAAGCGGAGACTTCAAGAACTGGGGCCCTTCTTATCCGAGGTATCTCACTGCCAGCTACCGCCCCCAAGACAAATTTGGGGGACTATATGAGAGAAGCCCGTGTGTTAGCATGCGAGAGGGAATGGAAAGGGCGAGCCCGAAGCAGCCCTGGCAAGTTCTCTTTCTATCTTACAGGTGGAAGTGTCAGCTCAGCTGGACAAAGCAAACCAGTTGCTAAGCGACAAGCCTTTGGAGGAGGTGCCACCTTGAGGTTGCCTCTGCTTCAGCTATGGGACAGTAGATCCTCTTAGCCAATCGATAAACAGTCTCCGTGGGGAAGGCCAATGAAGTCAGCATTCAAGACAATAATCCCCGCCCCTCAGTGCTCCGGGACAGCGCCGGTGGAGAGGGCTTTCGCGCGTGTCCTAGGACTTGAAACTTAAATGGCAGAAGCTTCTCACGAATGCCTGTCTACCAGCTGCGATTCACAAAAGCTTCCAAATATCACTTTAAAAAACAAACAAACAAAAAACCAAAAACATTCCTGCTTCCCACCTAGGTGGTTTCTTTCTTCTTTCTTCTTCTTCTTTCTTCTTCTTTCTTCTTCTTTCTTCTTCTTCTTCTTCTTCTCTTCTTCTTCTTCTTCTTCTTCTTCTTCTTCTTCTTCTTCTTCTTCTTCTTCTTCTTCTTCTTCTTCTTCTTCTTCTTCTTCTTCTTTTTCCTCCCCCTCCTTCTTCTTCCTCCTCCTCCTTTCTCCTTCTCCTCTTCCTCCTCCCCTCCCCCTTCTCCTCCTTCTCCCAACAGAAAGAAGCTTTATTTAAAACAATAACCTTAACTACTAATAAGCATATATGTAAATACATTTGCAGAAAACCTGATAATCTCATTTGTCATGGTCATCAGAATTTCAGTGTTGCTCAGAAAAACATTGGAACCATGTTTTTCTTTGCATCATGGCTTATAATAAAAATGTTTTCAGCTTGCATGTGGCAATTAGATCCCACAAACAAAGCAGCACTTTGTGTCTAGGCTGAGAGAGTATCCCTCTGTGTGGAGAGGGCTCTGGAAGTCCATTCGTGTAATAGGGATAAATATTGATCCACTACCAGAGGCCCCATAGATTGCCCAGACCTCCATACTGACATTCTCGTTCTGGGGATCTGAAACAGTCCTAAGCTTGTTTCCCAGATATCAGTCTGGGGTCGATGAGCTCCTCCTTATTCAGGTCAGCTGTTTCTGTGGGTCCCTTTAGCCTGGTCTTGACCCCTATGCTCATCACTCCTTCCTCTGTGCAACTGGTTTCCAGGAGTTCAGTTCAGTGTTCAGCTGTAGGTATCTGCTTCTGCTTCCATCAACTACTGGATGAAGGCTCTAGGATGGCATATAAAGCAGTCATCAATCTCATTATCGGGGAAGGGCATTTAAGGAAGCCTCTCCACCATTGCTTAGATTGTTAGTTGGGGTCATCCTTGTAGATCTCTGGACATTTCCCTAGTACCAGATTTCTCTTTAACTCTATAATGGCTCCCTCTATTATGGCATCTCTTATCTTTCTCTCCTCTGTTCTTCCCCTGACTCAATCTTCCTGCTCCCTCATGTCCTCCTCACCCCTCCTCTTCTCCCCTTCTCTTTCACCTAACTCCCTCTCCCTTCCCTCCATGCTCTCAATTTGCTCAGGAGATCTTGTCCATTTCCCGTTCTCCGTGGAACCATGTATGTCTCTCTCAGGTTCCTAACTTCTCTGGTGGTGTGGATTTTAGGTCAGTACTCCTTTGCTCTATGTCTAAAATCCATATATGAGTGAGTACATACCATGTTTGTCTTTTTGTGACTGGGTTACCTCGCTCAGGATGGTTTTTTCTAGTTCCATCCATTTGCCTGAGAATTTCAACATTCCATTGTTCTTCTTTTCTCCCTGCGGAGTAGTACTCTATTGTGTAAATGTATATTTTCTCTATCTATTTTTCTGTTGAGGGGCATCTAGGTTGCTTCTAGGTTCTGCCTATTACAAATAATGCTGCTATGAACATAGTTGAACAGATGTCCTTCTTGTATGAATGTGCATACTTGGGGTATATGCCTGAGAATGGAATTGCTGGATCTTGTGGTAGACTGATTCCCATTTTCCTGAGGAGTTGCTATACTGATTTCCAAAGTGGCTGTATGAGTTTGCACTCCCACCCCTTTCTCCACATCCTCTCCAGCATAAGCTGTCATTGGTGTTTTTTGATTTTAGCCATTCTGACAGGAGTGAAATGGTATCTCAGAGTTGTTTTGATTTGCATTTCTCTGATGGCTAACGATGTTGAGCACTTTCTTATGTGTCTTTCAGTCATTTTAGATTACTCCATTGAGAATTCTCCATTTAGTTCTGTACCCCACTTTTTAATTGGATTAGTTCTCACCTAGGCTTCTACCCCAATTTGTTCACCTCTTTTCCAGGCTGGATAGCTTAAAACAACCCCAACCCTCTTCATGTCTTGCACTCATTTTCCAAACTTCACTCAAGTTAACAGCCTTGTCACTTGCATAGACACAGAACATCCTCTCGTAGGACTGCCAACTATAGATTTAAACTAATATGTGAGCATGTGATTCCTGCTACTTCCCCAGATCATTTTGCCTCCATCTTCAGCATTTTAAACGGTGACTGTTTTCTCCTTTGCCACTGTTTCTCTCACCCTGATTCACACTTGAGGTGCCCTTGTTCCTGAACTGCATGCTCTTTTCCCCTGTGTATGAACCATCCTCTCTGCCTGGGTTTCATTCCTAGTCTCTGATGATCAATGCTTACATATTGGAAACTCCTAAATTCCTCTTGCAAAGTCTTTTGGAGCCACCAGGGTTAGTTGTGTCTAATTTAACCAATGTTCATCTTTGCATATTATTTACCAAGCTACTATCACCCAGCACAATGTAAATGGTGACATGTTTATTCCTCACTGCAGTCCCAGTTCCGAAGCAGGTGGCTCAGAAAGGCATCAAGACATGGCTGAATGAATTGAACTGAGCAGGATGAAAGATTGGGTGTAAAGAAGGAGAACCGTGGAAGTCTTAGACACAAGCAAAGATGTACAGACAATTGCTGGGGACCATAATCAACTCTCAGCATACAGGGAGTTAATGTCTAGCTGAGGACAGCAAGGAGGGCAGCCATGGAACAGGAAGATCCTCTGACAGAGCAGAGGAGAAGAAGAGCGCAGGAAGGCTTGGGTTATGAGCAGTCCATTGTGAGTGGTGCCAGCCCTGGGCAGGTTGTCCAAGAGAGCAGGCTGAGCAAGACATGGGGAACAAGCTAGTAGGCAGCACCCTCCATGGCTTCCTCATCCTTTTCTGCCTCTAGGTTCCTGTCTTGAATTCTTGCTCTGGATCCCCTCAGTGATAGACTCTAAGCTGGAAGATGAAATAACCCTTTCTATCCCAAGTTGCTTTTAGCCATGGTATTTATTACAGTATTAGAAACTAAACTAGGACAGGGGCTAAACTAACTCAATCAGGAAAATTAACCCCTACTCCCAGCTCCTCTACTATCTTACTTTAATATGTGGTTGTAAAAAAGCAGGTGCTTGCAAGAAGAACCTGAGCTGTATCACAGCATATCTGAAGTTAGTCCCATGATACTTATGTTTTCTCATCTTTTACATGAGTTAATGCTAACACCTTGCAAGGATATTGTGAGAAGTTAGAGGAGTAACCCTCTTTGATATAGAATAGCTAATATGTTCTATGAGCTGGTCATTGTGTTAAGTGTCTTGTGAGAATTAATTTCAGCCTCCAAAACAAGTTGTAAGTATGCACTCATGATTTGAATTTACAGATGGGGCCACTGAGGCCCAGAGACTCGGCTGGAGTGCAGCCGAGCCAGGAGGCAAATGCAGGGTATCTAGTTCTGTCTCCAGTGCTTTTAACCACTGGGCATACAGCCTCCACTATCTCATGTCCCACCAAGTAAGCACTCTTTGCTGCTTTAACAGATTTCCGCTCCTCTCAGTAGTTGGTGACAGTATGTTTGCATCTGTAGTTTTGTTTCTATTGACAGTTTTAGCTTCATTTTCACCTGTCAATTTCTTAGTCTTTTGTTTGTTTGTTTGTTTTTGTTTTTCAAGACAGGGTTTCTCTGTGTAGCTTTGGAGCCTGTCCTGGCACTCGCTCTGTAGACCAGGCTGGCTTCGAACTCACAGAGATCTGCCTGCCTCTGCCTTCCGAGTGCTAGGATTAAAGGCATGTGCCACCAATGCCCGGCCAATTTCTTATTCTTAAATTTTCTTTTTATCTTTGAGTCTATAATTTAGTTACAACATATATCCCTTTCCTCACCTCCCTCCAAACTTTCCCATATAACCCATCCCACTCCTCTTCAAATTTGTCATCTATTTTTTTCACTAATTGTTATTGCATATATATGTACTCATGTATAAACATATATATTGCTAAATATATCCTACTGGGTCCATATAATGTTACTTGGATGTATATTTTCAGGGCTGATGTTTGGCACTGAATGACCAATTGGTTCCTAGGGAGGACCACCCCTCCCACTCCTAGCTTTACAATTGCCTGTAGTTCTTTGTGTAAGGTTGAGGCATCTTGTGCTTCTCCCCATCCAATTTGACATGCTCATTGGTGTCTTCCTTGTTCAGTTCATGTTTGGGTGGTCATGTTGGTGAGACCTTATCAATGTACCTTCTGATGTTACTAGGAGACAAAATCACACAGCAAATTCTTTGACCCTCTGGCTCTTACAATCTTTCCACTTTCTCTCCTACAATGTTCCCTGAGCCTTAGGTGTGGGAGTGTTTTCTAGATGGATGCCCTGGCACTGGGCTCTACAATTCTGCATCTTGGT